CACCAACAAGATCTGGTTCAGGACCCTCACGAAAGGTTTCTTCTTATCCATTTTCATACTTATTGGTCTCTTATAGAAAAAAACTGTTTTGGAAGTTCAAAAGATCATGGTTTTGTCCTGACGAGAAATTATTTAGCTAGTTCAATGGATTTTTAGTTTGGGACTCCTGCATCTCCATTTATTGCAATTTTACTAGATTCTTAACTTATAAAAAGGAGGTGATTCGGAAGCTAGATTAATTACATTCTTTCCTATTGACATAGTTCAAGAGTTGAATGGGGCTGCAAAGATTTTGATTAAGGGAACAAGTAGTATGGTATCATGCCTTCAGCCGACATATTAAACCCCTGTTTGCCTTCCTTAAAACAAAATTCTTTAATTCTCATACTCATTTTCAATCACACATTTACACAATAAAATATTTTGTACGTAAACCCAAAATTTTTCCCTACTTTTTAACCATACATTTTCCAAAAGAATCACTATTCAAAACTCCAATTTTTCAAAATAATGGCCATCAAACATGGCTAAGTTAGTAGAACTTTAATCAATATGAAATTCTATAGAACCTCTTCCCAAACGTAGGAAAACACTCCGTTTTAATTGTCTTCAATTGTGTTAACCGAGTACAATGTTTTATATCTTGTTCTTCAATTACTGAGTGCTGCAAGTTAGTCTCCTGAGTTTAATCATGATAGGGATTAAGGTATATCTGAAACTGGCTTTAATGTTACTTCACACAGATACGTCTTAATTCTGAAGATTTAAGCTTTGTGGGCTACACATACAAGAACTTTGATGCTGTTAAGGAGGCATTGCGTCAGTCACCAGGTTAGGATATTTGTTCTCCTGAAACTCCACTTATACTTGCGTGCAAGGCTTTGTCCCTCTATATAAATATGCTTATTTGCTTCATTTATGCCAATATATAAACATATTCTTCCTCTGTTACACTGTATTTTTTCATGCCTTTCATTTCTTTTATGCTTTAATTTTCATCTGTTACTCTTCTGGTTTGTGATACTCTTTAAGGGAAGAAACAATTTCATGATATTCTTCTTGGACCTCATTTAACTTCTGCAGATCTTATCAGGAGTACATCACTGAGTCGGTCATCAACTGATTCCATATTTGGTGAGACTTATTGAAGGCATTGATCTTAGTAGCTATACCCTTTTGTGGTTTATGATTTTAAGATATTATTATGTATCCATTAGGTGATCCCAAGGGGGGCCCAACGAGGAAAGCAGCATCTGAGGAAACAGACGTGCAGATGATCACGACAATGGATGATGTGATGTCACCATGAAATAAAACAAATGCTTAGTAAATGGAAACTTTGTTACAGTTGGTGGCGTACACCTGTGTATTTGTATAGGTTGCTCGCCCCATTCAATGTTTCCCCATCAGATAGCTGCCTTTTCAAGAACCGTTGTTTCTTGTATATACTAGTGCTTGAGAAACTTGAATAGAAATCTAAAGTAGGTACTGTGGTACTTCTGTTGTCCTGGCTGCCCAGGTTGGCAATGGATGCTTTCTCGTGTGGTAGTTTTTGGTCAGACATACTCCCCTACTGTTCTTTGCTGAGAAAAAAGTACTTTAATCGCTTGACTACAGAGTGATTTATCTCTATTTCTTTTCTTCTTTGGTGGCTGCTTTTCTACATCACATTTTTCAGTTCAGCTGGTTGGTTTTTGTTATATTTTCTGAAATTCAATGTGATATCCAGAACCAAATTACCACCCAAGCAGCCGCTAAATTAGGTGTCATATCCCCATATTCTTTTAATATGGGCCAAATTTTTGAGATATTGTTTGAGGTATATGACAAATACGGAAACACTACCTCCAGTTTAAAAAATTACAAGGACACTCTTCCCCATTTGGATATATACTTTTGAGGGAATTTTGAAGGAAAAATAGTCTGACGAGTACTTAATAAACCTTTTAGAATTATTTTAATAGTTCAATTGTTTTAAAAAATAGATTTTAATGTTTAGTTAAAACTGAAAATTTTCACAATCCAATCTATTACGATTTATAATTTTCTATTACGCACAAGAAAAACGTAATGGAAATATATTTTAAAATAGAAGGTTCTTTAGTCGCTTTAAGAAAAATGAAAAATAAGGAAGTGATATAAGAATGTGTTCCTCCTCCTTCCACGAAAATGGTCAGGTGGGAGTTAACTAAGAGACAACAAGAGTCATGTAAAATCCGCACTTGTGTCACTTTGCTTCCCTAGCCTAATAGATGCCATCAAGGTAAGAAGTCGAAGTGGACTAAACTCACTAATCGGAGCAATACGTAGATGTCAAACCTCCATGCTCGAGGCGATGTGCTACGAGTTGCGGCAATATATTCTCGAAGTAACGAACCTTTGTCCCACAAGACATCTTTCATAATCACTCTTTATATAAAAGATCTTCTGTACGATTGACTATTTTGGCAAATCTACAACAAATGCATCTCAATCAACTGTTCAATCTACATTTTAGATGGTCGGCCTAGGATATAGGACTACTTTTCAAAATCATTTAATGTCACCTTGGACCTAGGATAACGAATGTGATGTCTATGGACTGTGAGCCTTTAAGAGGAACCACACATCACCCGTTCAATGATAAAAGCTTACACTTGGTATCATTCAAAGATAATGTAGTCTTACACTCTTGATAGTGAAATAGCTCAATAATACTTTCTTCAAACCCGCTATCGTACACATTCTTGAGGCTTTCATTCATTGTTCATCTCACACCCAGATATCTCTATAGTTGTGAGTTGATTGTAAGAGTACCATCGACTGCCTCTCCCATCATCAAAGAAGGCCAAGTGCACCTCACGTTTGTCCAAGTGTACAGGAACTTAACACGTGGAGTGGAGTGGAGCCAGAATATGTTGGCCACACTATCTAGTCGAAAACTCTAAGTCAATGACAAGTATAATTTATACACTTATTCGAGACCCTAAATAATGATACTTTATTGTACTTTCGATAAAATTCTATTTGATTTATGTTATATTGTGTTTTGTATGTAAAATTTTATGTTTGATGAAGAATTGGAGAAAAATGGCAAGATCCAAAGTTTTAGGGACTAAAATGTAAATACTCAAAAGTTGTGTCGAAACTCATGATGAAGATTCGAGAATACTAGGGGTCAAATGGATGCAGTTAGAAGTCAAAAGGAGTGAAAATATGATCAAAATATTTTCACAAATCAATTTTCAATCGCACAAGGATATTCTAGATTTTCAGTCAGAGATTGAGACCAATTTTTGGCTTAGTAAACATTCGAATTGGAAAGGAGCTATTTCTATCAAAGTTGTAGATCTTTGTGTCATCTTTCCAACTCATTTTGAATCACCTTAATCGGATATCATGAGAGAAATTTATGACAAAAATACTAGAGAAGACGCGGAGTTTAGAACAGAGACCTAACACCCAGGTGCTGCACCTATAGCGCCCAGGCGCAACCTTGTTACTTGATGCGGCGCCTAGGCCCTGCCTCATATCGCTTAGGCGTTGCACCACATAATTTAAGTTTTTGCTATTCGCCACGAGAAGTCCAAAGAAAGACTCCAAATTAGCCAAGAACGTGTCGGGAAGTACAAATAAATCTAAGGAGGCAGTAATAAAGGGTTCCAACACATTGAGAATGGCGAATACAACGAGAGATCAAAGAGCCCAATTCAAAGAAAAGAGTCATCACGGAATTCAAGTTTAAAGTGTTGATTGGAAGCGGAAGAAGATGTTAGTGCAAAATTTAATTCGTTTCTACATCTTTAT